CTCTGGGCGGCTTCCAACAAAATATTAAAAATACGTTAAAACATCAGTCATTAAAAACTTCGCTAAACAGGGCTTCCTTCAGATGTCTTCTAAAAGTCAGATAGTTGTTTATTTCCTTGACATCTGATGGGACGGCATTCCACAGGGTGGGTGCCACTACCAAGAATTTAATAATAATTTGCCTTTGAGAAGGTTCCCTGGCATGAAGACTGGATATAGTGCTTGAGAGGAAATGGAGAGAGAAAATACAAGAATACAAGAAAAAATAAGCAGAAGTAATAGTGTGGTAAAATGCAAGAAATGCAAGAAAAGTTACATTTTACATGAGACATGGAGTTGCCCCCAAAAGAACAGCAGCCCCATGTCAATTCTTCCCCTTTTCTAAATGCTGGTACTTTGGTTTGGGTCACTTAATGTGTACTGCTAAGTAGATTGGCCACCATATTGATAGGATTAGAACCGGATATTGTTAATTTACCTGTTGATATATTTAACATTCATGAAGTATAGCTGTTGAACTGTCAATGCTTTCACTGTAATGTTTTATGGCTATTGTGCTATTACTGTATTTACCGGTAAATCACATATTTTTCCATGAATTGTTTCAAGGACAATGCATTTGTGGAAAATCCAGTGTATAAATAAACTGACTGTGGCTGTTGCTGTAGAAGCTACTTCTGGGAGCTAGAGCAAATGGTGGTGTTCCTGCTTGGCAGGGGGTTGGACTCGATGGCCCTTGTGGTCTCTTCCAACTCTATGATTCTATGATTCTATGATTCTATGAAATGCAATGAATAAAAGATACAAATGAAAACAGAGAAAGAAACTGCTTCTACTCAAGTGGTAATATAAAAAAGATACACTGTGTTCCTGAACTCGAATGGAGTTTGTGCATATGGCAATGGTAATCTCCAGAGAATTCCAGGACAGATGTCATTTGCAAATGGGTAGAATAACGTGGCAGCAGCTCACTGGTAGATGGCCAGGACTTCAACTGTTGGGTGAGTTATCAGGTACCATTCTTCAGTCAGAAGGTTGGGAACCACAACTGCAGCATGAGCTAAGTCACTCCAACAGCACACCAACAACTGTCTTGTCCATTTTGCCCAAACTGCCTGTCTTTTCAGTCTGTTATATGACAGTAGCAACCAGACCTGTGCAGAGGGGTGGCGGCAGCCAGCTATGCTTGCCCTAGGCCTCAGAGGACTAAGTTGGCCAGGGTGGGGGGCACCAGGGACCGGCTGCTTTTCTGTTTGTGTTTATAACTTTTCTCTAAGAAGACTCCCGCCCTGGGCCTCAGACAAGCTCTGTGTGGGCCTGCTACCAACTATGACTTTTGCTTTGGGGGAAGGCAGATAATTTAGTTTTCTAATTAGAAAAGGGCAATACATGAGACTGAAGAGCACCTAATTGGCAGCAAAGCTTACAGTGTTGATTTAGGAAAAGAAGCTGGGTTATGCGAAGGGTCCAAAAGGTAGCTGGAATGTACTTCATTACTCTTTATCTCAGGATTTTGTATTTATCTGTGTTTTCCCTCTCATAATACAAATAATAATGCCACAAAGCCTCCTAATTATTCTAGTTAAGATTCAACATTCCATTGCTAGACAAAGACCAGCCAAAATATCTATTTTCACCTGCTGTTTCTCTTACGGTCAATTTATTTATTTTTTTAAATCATAATTTATTTTTATACGCATGAACGCAGATTGTTATGAGGACTGTGTATACTTTGACAATACGCACTTAGGAGTGCATAATACCCAGCAAATAAGTGAACAAATAAATAAATATATAAAGGCCAGGATGCAAAGGTCTACATAAAGTTAAAGGCTTTTTGGTCTCTGCCCCTTCTAATGGGTAGCTCCCTATCCCTCCCAAAATCCTAGGACTGTCGAGAGGAACATTCCATGAGGCACAAGGAGCTTCCACTGAAAGACGAAAAATTTGCTAGCAACACCTCTTTGAATCCAGGCCAAAGTCTTATGTGCTACATCAAGAATTCTCACTTCAGTACTTTTTCATAAAAAAGCTTTTATATGAAATATTGAAACAAGTATTTTTAAAGAAAGGCATCAGCTGTCTTTTCATTAACTCTTCACCAAAATTCACTCCCAGCTCAGCCTCTATACATGCTAGGGAGGGGGGAAAGCATTAAGCGTATGCATGCCTGTGTCTTGTAAAATTTTCTTAGCAATAATCCTATTAATAGATGCTCTTCTTGGCACAGGTTCACATTTAACTATTCCATTTTCTTATCTTTCAAATATAAAACAGCCAGAGTTTGCACATTATGTGGCAACTTGTCTCTTGAGTTTCGAATGGGCAAGGCATAGCTTTATTTCCCTAAACTGAAGGTTTTTAAGTCAACTTTTCCCCCATGTACAAAAGGAGAGAAAATCCTCATATTCCTATTTACAGTCCTCAAAAATTGGCAGAAACGGGTCTATGCACATCCAGTTCGCCCTTGTTCTAACACTTACATTTCCAATGTTTTTTTCTGCTTTCAAGAAATAGAATAATTGTAGCCTTAAAATTTCATTCCAGACAAGTGTTAAGTCTGTGTTTACTTTGCTAAGTTGGCATCAAACCAGTGCAGCTATGTGGAAAATGTGGTCACACTGAAAGCTTTGGGACATAAAAGCTTATACTCAAATATTCTCCTTATCAAGTGAAAAATTGAAAAGAATCTTGGCAACCATTAAAAAAAGAAGAGGAATTTGTTTGTTTAAGAAGATGAGCTTCAGCTTTGACCACACCCTAACATTAAACAAGCAATTAATACTGTTGACTATGCCTTTCCTTTAACACAGGAGAGGAGGGCCTTTTTCAGCCCAAGGGCCACACTGCTTTCTCATCAACTTTCAGGGGCCACTGAATGCCAATGGTGGGTGGGGCCAGAAGCTAAAGTGGGTGGGGCAACTAATGTTAATTTTACCTTTCTGAAATCGTCTAGTTTCTACAAACACATGCACACAGATACACCTCCATATCCTCTATCCAGGCAAGCAAGAGTTCAAGGACACATGAAAGAACCTTCAAATAGCCTTCGCTGTGCTCTTTTTGGCACCTCCTCAATTTCGTTCAGGCCAGTGTACTCAGACACATAGATGCTGACATGTTTCAATATTTTACTGTTAAAGAGGACCATGAAAGAGGACCATGCAGGGAGGCCTGGAGAGTGACATTTGCTCCCACACCCAAAGTTATCCCTCCCCCACCGATTTAACACATGCTCTGAAGAGTTAGCATTATTTTCTATTAAAAGTTTTGTGACAACTGAGTGGTTGATTGATACATTGGCAAAAATCGGAGAGGTCAATTGATAACCCTTCTGTGGTATTTCTTACTAATTTCTTATTCTTGTGACTTCAAATGGAAGAGAGAATGTCTGATGCTCCTTTGCAATTCTTGAGTTTGATCTACATTACAGTAAGAGCCTTTTGACTTGTGCAGACCCTTCATTGGACAACATAGCAGATGGTTCTCCCTTTACAACCGCAAACAAGGATGCATCTGTTACTCTTTGGCACAGGTGGGCGGTCCACATGGCCCTCGGCCTAATTTCATGTGGCCCTCGGCCTAATTTCAAAAGCCCTCTTCAAGCAATTAATTCGGAGCTTCTAGCAAGAGCAATCAGACTTATCCCCCAGCAGACTCCTGGGTAGAGAGAAAGGGAAAGAAAGGGAGAGTGGCTGCACACACTTTTTGCTCTGCCCCTTCCCCACCCCCAAATTGGCTTCAGCACCACCCATGCACACAGTCAGCTTGTGGACCCTGACGCATTGCCCCCTGCGGCAGAAATAAAAAGTTGTCCATCCTTAATCTAGGTCATTTGGAAGGAGTGCAGTAAACAAGGGAGGAAGTTCCTTTTCTTTCATTAATTTGTGGGATCAAGCCGAGCCCTTACGCCACTGAAAAACCAAAGGGCTATTTCAGGCCTGTCGTTCAAGTCCTGTTTTGCTGAAACAAGTTGCCAGTAAGAACCAGAACTACATACAACTACCACCTTGCATGCGAGACTAGTTGCACCTCTTCTTTCCTGAAAGTAAAAAAAAAAACCTGCAGCAGCACTTGCCTACAGATAGTGAGAAGTTTTGCCCTAAATAGCCAGTATTTAGCCTTTCAGTTGAATAAACATTAGCAAACACCCCTACTAGCATTATGGCATACCTATGCCAAACCTTGCATAGCAGTGATGAATTTGAAAGCTTTTGAAGAATGAAATACTATTGATAGATGGACAGAACTGAATCTTAACCATGGAGGAGCGCTTCAGAGACCACAGTGTTGTCCACACTAAAAGCCAGCTGAAACAGGAAGATAAGAAGACCATGTTGGATTTGAACCAAGGAGAATGTAGACTGAAATCACAGTTGGCATGGAGGTGGGGCAGTGGAGCAACTATTCCAGATCTCACCCAAGGAAGAGTACCATATAGGAGCATAAGCAGCTGCCTTATACCAGTCAAACCATTGGTCCATCTAGATCAGCGTTGTCTACACTGACGGGCAGCAGCTATGCAGAGAGGATGTCTGTCCCAGTTCTTACCTGGAAACACCATCTGAATGCACAGAAGCTATGACCCTTCTCACATCAACACTGACTCACAGTACTATATTTCACTGTTTTAATATTGAGGCATTCATTCATTCATTGTTTACTGCTCTTATTTGTCCTGTAAAAAGTCAACAATGTGCCACTACTGCTTTCTCCTCCCACTCCCTTATATCCCAAGGAAAACTAATAGCTTCAGTTAACTGCACTAGAAAGTGGGACACTGAAGTAAAGTATCACAGCCAATGAGAGCTCAACCATTTAAACTCTATATTTGATGTTTATATATCACATTATATATCACATTGATGAAATGCGAAAAGGCTGCAGTTAAACCAACTTTTACTCAGGGTAGGCCCACTGAAATTAATACACATGAATCACTTAGGTGCATTAATATTAATGGATGTACTCTGAGTGAAAGTTAGTTGAACAGATTGAAGGGATTGCTCAGTCAGTAAACTATGAGACTTTTAATCTCAGGGTTGTGGGTTTGAGCCCCATGTTGGGCAAAAGATTCTAGGAGGTTGGACTAGATGACCCTCATGATCCTTTCCAACTCTCTGATTCTATGATCTATGAATAAAACCCTAAGGTGTTGTATCCAATACTAGTCATGTTCAGAATAGACCCACTGAAATTAATAGATTACTCTCAATAGGTCTACTTAATTGGATATAACCTTTACCTCAGAGGGAGTAAAAAACACTTACTTCTGAGGGACAAATAACACTGTTTATTTGTTCGTTCATTCATTCAAGTAAGTATCTTGGTAAGAAACTACAAAGAAAAACAGTTCATATGTTAAAATGACAGATCTGTATGAAAATGTTTGTAAAGTACTGTGTAATCCAATGTAGAGTTGCTACCAAACTGCCTCCTGGCATGCTGGTTACATAATCAACAATTATAAACTCCCCCTGCATTCCAAGACTCACAACCCTCACCTAAAGTCCCACCAGTCTCCATAAAAGTACTCTTTTCTTTTAAATTCCTGAGAGATAGCAATGTCAGTCTGCTGAGGCAAAAATGATTAAGACCCCTGTGGCTAAACACATCTCTGCAGCAGGAAAATTTATAGGCAACAGCCCACTTTGTCATATGCATAAGAAAGCCAATGCCACAATAAATATATTTTAAGGTCCCAAGGGATGTGCTTATTTCAGCGCTTAGGATATTTTATGTCCCTTGTTTCAAGGAAATGTATTACTGGTTGATCTTCACTTCTCTACCTTTTTTTCTATTCCAGGTATTTAAGAGTTTAGCACTACTTCTGAAAAGATCATGGCCATCTTGAAGAGAAATCTGCCAGCACCAAGGTTGGCTGTCTCTAAGCAGAACAGATCTAAAACACAGAGGTTTTTAAGTTGGTGCATTTCACGCTGATGGAAGCAAGCTTCCAGCCTGGGGAAATGGATACAACCATGTCTTTGTTGTATCTATTTTCCCAGGCCTTCTTTCATCAGCAGATGTAGTTCAACCATCGAATAAACCAACACCCATACTGAGTCATGCCACACTTCTGACTTCTGAGGCTGAAACCTGCACACATGTACCTGGACTTAATCCCTATTCAGTATAATGGAACTAACTTCCAAATAAACATTAATTTATTTTTTATTTTAAAAAACTTTCAAAAGACTTGCTTTTCCTAAGAAGAGCATCCAATGTGGCTTGAAGTCTGTATTCACCAATTCTTCATGTGCCAGTTTCCCAAGCCCTGCCTCCACATAGTAAAAATGTTAAAAGGCATTTCTATCACTGCATCTTACTAAAATTCTGTCTCATATGGGGGTATCAGGTAACAAAACGTAGCCTTGACCTGGAAAGGGAAAAAAAGATTCCTGCAGGCTCAAGTAGAAGCAGAGACAACAGTTTACCGCAGCACCTTAATCACGTACTGAATCATAGGAGCTGACTTCCAACACAATATTCACTGCATCCAGTCAGATCCCCAAGGATCCTAACGTTTTTAAAGCACATTGTAAACTCTTTTGCTTGCAGTGATGAAAAGATAAAGCCTTTAGGAGGCAATCTCTCGGATAACAGAAGCATTCTGGGAGAGGTCTATAGCAAATTGAGATATTTCCCTAGCCTACCTACTAACCAGAAATATCTCGTGGTCATGACTCCTGTTTCCCTTTCTCGTCTACGGCAGCACTGCTTTGCTATATGTAAAGTAAATGTGCAGAGGTATAACCCTATCAGTCATTGACTGACCTGCCCTAATTTTATCAAGGTATGAGGTGAGCAGAAGATGTATGGCAGTCATTTATGAGCTACTCAGCTACTACAGAGAAGGAAAAGGCAGACAGAAGGCCCTAAGGAAAAAGAATAGATGCAGCATGAGTCTTCTAGGCCAGACTTGTCTAAAACATCCATCATCCCCAGCCATTGGCCCAGCTGGCTGGAGCTGATGGGAGTTGGGCTCCAAAACCTCTGGAGGGCATGAAGTTGGGGAAAGGAGGTCTTGAAAATTGGGAGCTGCAGTCAAAGAAGGCAGATGGCCAAAGGCAGTAAAGGAAGTGAGAGGGAGAGTTCTCCAAAGCAGAGCAGATGCTGGTGAGAGAATGAAATTTGGGGCAGAGAACAAAGACAAAAAGGTACCAATAAGCAGGAACTGCAGAGGCCACTCAAAATACTCATCCAAATCTCCTAGTTTAAACTAGTGCTGTGCACTGGATTCAGCAAAAGCCCAAACCAAATCAGTGCAATTTGGGCGGAACTGGGCTTCAGACAAATCAGGCTGAGGCTGTCAGAAGGTGTGGCAGTTGAGCGGCAGCGGGGAAGAAAACAAGGCAGGCAGTTTCAGCAAGCCTGTTTGTGAAAAGGGCTTTCAAATAGCCCACACTGTGCTCTGGCTGCATGTGGGGAACAGCCAAACTTAGCAGGGTTGAACCCTCCACTCACCGTGTTCCCTTCTGGGAACACACTGGCAAAGCAGCCCCTAGCCGAATTGCACCCTCCATGGGCTTAATCCTGTTGGCTGCTGTGTGGGTTAGGTGGAGGGGGAATGAGCTGTAGCTTCTCCTTACCCCACCCCCAACTACAGGTTTAATCAGAGTTTTATAAGCTCTGATTAAACATGAAGGTATCAGAAGGAGGTGGTAGGAAAGGCTGGCTCCCAAATCAATGTGCGGCTTGAATCTGGGTTGAGCTGACCTGAGATCAGCCTGCTAATCTGAAATTGCAGGCTGGACCCTGGATCAGATGGGGTGCAGCATGCACAATGCTAGTTTAAACAACTCAAAACAGACTAGGTAGCCCCCTAAGTAGATGGATCTTCACTTGAAACTCCAACAGCACCAGATCAAATTTTTTATATACTGTATGTATATTCTGGTGCTACTGAACTGGCAGGGTATGACCTACATGGCTGTAGCCATAGGCACCACATTTGTGCAACTGCTATCCTCTAATAACAGGAAAGGCTTCTTAAAAGATTACATTGCTGCAGAGCAAGTACAAAGAGATCGTCTCCCTGCCCAAACCAGAATTTCTGCATGCCAGCATTCAACGTTCATCATTTTGCTGCCATCCCTTTCAACTCAGGCAGGCTTGAAAAGCACTTTTCATTACCATGCTTTAGTAAACAGGTCATTTTTGCTTCTGCTGCTTTGTAGGCCTCCCCAAAATAACTTCACCATTTGAGTTTGCAGCTCCACTTACTTTTGTCCTTAAGCTCCAGTTATCCAAACCACAAACCCAGAGGTAGTACTCTTTCATTCACACAGACACACAGAGTAGCATTTACCCTGTTTATTCTCTTCTGTGGAAGAGAAAAGAGAAATTTCTGAGGAGGAATGGGGGCAGACATGGGTTTTCATCCACTCCAAGCATTCAATGCTTATTGCTTCCCTCAAAGAATCCTGGGAACTGTAGTTTGTTAATGATACTGGGAATTATAGCTCTGTGAGGTGCGAACTACGGTTCCCAGGATTCTTTGTGGGGAGAGCCACATATATGGTACGGATGCGACCATGAACAATGGAGAAGGGGGAAAGAACTAAAGAGAGAATAAAAAATATATGGAAAGAAAATGGAGAGAGAAGGAAAACTGGAAAGACTGGCAGATAACGTAGCAAATACCTAAAGCTGAGATAACAAATCACTTGCCTAGAAGCTTTGCCATAGAGGCTGAGAATACTATCCAAGATTATGTCACACTCATGGTATTTAGGGGCGCATTTCATTCACCCAACCATAGCCACTAACTTGCCTCACTACCATTCTTGTCCATTTTGATTGATCCAGAATATGGCTGTGTACAACCCATAAAGTTTTGTGTTCTTATGATCACAAGGACAAAACCTATGAAAATGCCTGTCCCGAGATATTTTCACCAGCAGATAAACCACTTCCCCTCATCTGAAGAATGGTAAGTGGAAACTCCTTTTTGTCATTAATCAAAATCAGCCCAGCTCCTCCTAGAGAACTTTCTTACTCCAACAGGATTTTCAGAACTGACTGCTTTTAATGAAAGGTCTGGTGCCATGCTTTTTTTTACTGTAAATATTTTTAGGTTTTTAATAGATTGTGTGTGTGTGTGTGTGTAAAATTATATTAATGTTTAATTGGATTTTTTATGATTGGAGGTTTTTCCCCCCTAAGTTTTTAGCTGTTCTTGTTATATCTGTAAGCAGCTTTAATTCCCCATCAGGGAAAAAGGCATGGTATAAATAAATATATAATAATAATAATAATTTATCATTAAGGTACTTCTGAATATTTTTAACTTGAAAGGCCTCATCATACAACTATCCCCAGATTTCGATGTGTTACTAGAAACAAACCTTTTGAATGATATTGGGTGATATCAAAAGTCAAATTTAGCCTATGTAAGTGCCTATCATGAGCTTAACACAAGTAGAGGCAGCTGTGGAAGTTTGCATGTTCTTCTTGCAGCTGCTGTAAGAAGTGATGCTGGTGTGAAGAAGCCCTTCACCAGTTTCTTCTTCCCTTCCTTTTTCTGAACACCTGCTAGAATCCAGCATCAAGACAGGTTCTTAATTAGTACACTCTGTTTCCAAGGCCACGCTCACAAATTTCCTGCTTTTGCACCAAGGCATTGCACCATTAAAGATGTTCAGATGTTGATATTTAAGCATTTTGAAACACAGCACACCTTTTTCTAATGTAATTGAGACAGAGCCCCCAGGAGAAAAGCTCTGAGTGCTATGGTTAAGATAGCAACTGATGAGCAGTAATGCAAATCTTATGATCTCATCAGCTCACTGGAATAGGAAAATGCACATCTCATGGGCAATGCATTTTTATAGGCCCATTTCATATTCAAAATGAGAATTTTCTAAGTTACACATACCAGCCATATGCACAGCTAAAATCTATTTTAAAAATCCAATAGAAAAAGAAAAATAAGAAATATAACTTATGTCTTTTGCAAAAGTATTTTAAGAGTAAAAAGACACCTGACAACCGGGTTAAAAAGTATAAGAAATCAGATCAAAGTGTACACTATTAAATAAATTCATTGCCAACACTAATAATTCCA